TCCGGCGCAGTTGCGCTCAACAGTTAGCTAGGCTATAGAAATATCGAATCAACGTATCCGCAAGTAGAGGATGAGTGGTCTTGAGCCCTGTAGTTGTCGCTGACTGACCTTATCCCGGGCACGTACCTGTACCCTATTGATCCGGGTAACGAGATGCACTTCACGTCGTTGGATAGCTTCACGGCCAGGCCCGCGCCATATCGACGGGCCACGGTTTTCCAGTGACTCCGCATACCTTTACATTCAGGCACTAAGTGTCTGAAATGCACCACACATGGCCTTATAAAGGGCAACTAGGCTAACCCCTTATAGTTATAATGTTAACTATTGCCTAGATATTAGTAGTATAGATTAACACTAAAATGGCTAGTATAACTATAGCTAATTTACTATAGATCTACTAGATCTATAGGGATATTATATAGTAAATTTACTATATAATCTTATAATAGTTTCCCTGTTTATATATAATTTAGAACTAGTATTTACTCTTATTATTTACCACTACCTATTAATATATATAGTTAACTATACTACTAACCTAGTAAAACTAATACTAATTAGTAGTTAACTTTATAGTAACTACTACTATAAGCTACTATAGATTTATAAGGTAATATAAAAAGAGGTAATTTTTTATTTATTATTTATAGTTACCTTAATTAGTTACTAAGAAACCTATTTATAAGTACATTTATAATAAGATTACACTATATATCTATAATAAGTTAATTTGTATTACTAAGTAGTTATAATCTCTTAATATAGTAAAAGTAGTATAAATTTATGTTATTTATATAAGTAATTTAACTTTATTACTATATAAAAAGTCCTTTATTTAACTATAAAAAAACTTTAGTGTATAATAAGTATATAATACTATATAATATTATAAGGCTAGTAGCTATAATAAGTAACTTATATTTTATAATAAGTAACTTTAAGAAGTATATTATTCTTAATTTTTAAGAGAGAGATTATATATTATAAATCTACTAAAAGATGTTATTAAGGCTAAGTAATTAAATAGCTTTATTACTATAACTATATATATATTACTAAGTATAAGGTAGATAACTATCTATATTATATTTTATAAGATAAAGCATAAGGTAACTTTAAAAAGTAAGAAATAAAAGATTTTACTTATTTATTATATAAGATACTTAAGAAGTTATATAAATATCTTATAAGGTATAAAGTATAAATTAACTAAGTAAAAAACTTTAATCTTATAATATTCTTCTATTAAGTAATTTAAGATAAAAAATTTATTATAAAAAATAATAAGATAATTACTACTACTATATAAAAGGTTAAAGAGTTTAGAAAGTAAGTAATAACTAAAGATTTTTATAAAGAAATTACTAATATAGTAGTATTACTTATTAAGGCTATTTATATAGTAAAGGTAGCTAAATGAGCTATAGCTTATAAATTACTAGTAACTACTTAAGTAACTTTACATTATAACTTATTATTTATATCTTTTTTAGTCTTATTATTATAAAAACCTTAAATAATAGTAGTAATTTATAAGGATTAAGTCTAATTATGTTTTTTATTTAAGGTAATTATTATAATATTAACTATTACCTAGATATTAGTAGTATAGATTAATACTAATAACAGCTAGAATAACTATAGCTAGTTTACTATAAAATCCTAAGGGGATTTTATAGTAATTTCCCTATAGATCTACTAGACCTATAGGTATATTATATAGTAAATTTACTATATAATTCTATAATAGTTTTTCTTTTTATATATAATTTAGAACTAGTATTTAATATATATAATAAGTAAGTTAATTAGATAAGTAAAGTAATTAGCCTGCTATAACTATCTTATAGAGATAATAAAGAACTAATAATAATATAGTTAAATTAATTTAAACTACTTAGAATCCTTTACTTCTAATATCTCTTTATTAAACTAATATATTTATACGTTATATCTAGCGTTCCTATAGATACTATAACGCTATTAACCTATTTCTATCCTTAGTCTGTAACTACTACTTTAATACGTTTCCTCTTATACCTAGGCTATAGCCTCTCTTTATAACTAAATATCTTATATATTAGCTATAGTAAGACTTCCTTTTTATCTAAGGTAATTTTTTTTAGTTCTTTTATATTAGTTAAGTAGGTTATTCTCCTCTTAAAGGCTTTTAACCTTAGCTCTTAATAAAGTATTCTTATATATATATCTTAGTGCTCCTTTAAGAATATACTTAGTAGCTATTAAACTATATATTAAGAAGCTATTTAGCTAATAAATAAAGTAATCCTTAATTAAAGTTCCTTAAGAATTTA